TCGAGCATCACCTCGGACTGACTGGTAAAATCTTTGTTGTCAGGGCCAGACTGGGATTTGGCTGCACGTCTGATGTGCAGGAGCTGCTGCTTCCCAGTCGGATCAGGGCAGATTATATGGCCGGCAGCGTACATGGGAAACACAGACCTCGTGTCACCCCATGAAGGCCACCTCCCACTCCCCTATATATGAAAACACAGAGAGAAGGCTTACACAGGCTCACTGATGAAGATGTAACATAATTTAGCTTAAGGGTGCATCGTCCTAGGCACAATGAATTATGGTTGCTGTAGTTTATTAAAGAACCACTGCACATAAACTCCAGTTTCTCATAATGAGGAGCACTACTCAACCTGTGAAGACAGTTGTATAATGTCCTCTGTGGCTCTGGAGAAAATCATCCTAATGATGTCATAGTGATGTCATCAGGGTTATCTCAGCTAGGGCTTAAGACATGGGCATCGTAAGATCCCTTTTACTGGGTCGTGTGCCCCAGTATTGGTCTGCTGTGCCCCGGTAAAAACACACATTCCAGTTTTAATAAGATACTATATTTGGCAGTGGATTAAATTAGATTGATAATAACAGGAAAAGAATTGATTGTTCTAATCCAGAATGTCAAAGCAAAATACAAGCTGAGGCACAGTGGTCAGGGTTCAGTGTACACGTATGCATGTCATAGCTGGTGCATTGGAGCGTGCACGCAACAATCCCTTTATTGGCACGTGAAACAAAAGAAAGCAATGGACTGGGGTATGTGACAGGGACTATTTGTTTAATACAGCTAATCTTATTTTGACTCAAACATTATTGATTCCTGTAGATGGACATAAGAAAAGTCTTTAGAGGAGGACGAGACAGGGAAGACGTTCGGAGAGATGAGACCTGGCTGTAGTTGGTAGACAAGGTAACTTTAGTTTAGTTAGCTAGAATATAACCAGGAGTGGAGGTTGAATGTGAAGTCAATTAGAGTTCTTAAAATGCTATTTATTAGTGTACTACAGGAAATAAGGTGAATGCCAAGTATGTTGCATAATATATATCACACATAGCAGTTTATGTTAAGGTTGGACTATTCATTCTGTATTTAATGAATACATTTTATTATTGTGAAATGCAGAAAAATGCAAAGAAATGTGCAATACAGGGCCAGATTTTTACACCATAATTACATGCTGAGAATGGTCTTAATGTATGTTGAAATAAATATTTTCACAAACATTTTTACCTTTACCAGCAGTTGTTTCAGTTTCAGTAGCAGCAGTATGGCAGCGGAATAGTGGGCTAAGCAAGGGACGTTCATATAGCACAGTGCATATTTCATTCATGCAGTAGACATCCAGAACTGTGTGATATGAGTAATGGGGGCCTGGGCCCCAGTACAGCTTTACGTCTTGCAACACCCCTGGCTTGAGGGCTGATTTTTTTTTAAGAGAAAGCCTGCGTTACGAACATGTGATGGGGCTTGAATGACACTATGGCATTTAGAAGATAGGAGAGTCAATTGAAAGCTGTTACTGAGTTGCATAGGAGCAGTTCCCATACAGTTAGCATATCTTGGCCACTGCTGCTTTAATGTGGACCGTTCTTAGAAAGATCTGTCTCTTGAGAATCCCCCAAACTTTATGAAAGTGAAAACCACTTGAGAACCTTCTAAGTTGTTTGCAGCTTTGTAATAGTCGGAAATGTCAGCTTTCAACATCGGTGGGATGCATTGTAGGGATCAAAATTAATAAAACATATACAGATGATTGTTAAGTTAACCACTTACTTGTGGTTAACTCTGACAATCTATTTCCCCCAGTCAGGTGCAACATGGTCCAACATTAACACAAAATTATCAAAGTACAAACAGTTTTGGTTATTTCATATGTTTTTTCATTGCTTTTCTTGCTGGGTTGATGTGGGCGGGGCTCATTTGAAACAAGGTGACGTCACATACAGATGGGTGACAAATTAAAGGAAAAACCTGAATGTTTGACCCCTACACTGAGGGCATCTGGGGACTCTGTTATTCTGTGGGGGGCATTCTGCTGGCATAGAGTGGGTCCACTTGTCCACTTAGAGGTAAAGGGCACTGCAAATCAGTACAAAGTTGTTCTGAGTGATCCCCTTTATCCTGTGATGAAACATCCTCATGATGGGAGTGGTCTCTTCCAGGATGACAGCAGGGGTTTGATTAGTATGAAACTTATTTATATATAAATATATTCACATACTATGGTGTATCCCATGTTCAAAAAGAGCTTATGTTGATTTTTCCTCTATCTGTGTTTCTGTGCATTCACACATTTCACTCAACCTCTGATGACAGTTGTGAGGCTGTTTGCTTTTTGGACAGTACCACACAGTCTTAATAAAAAACAATGATTGAATTTAAAGTGTTAAACTGTTTTCCAGCTCTTGTTGTTGAAATGGGGCTTTAAATAAGCCAAAATAGACATAAACCACACTCACTGCTGTCAAAGTCCAAAACAACATCAATGGCAGCAGTATAACAAGGGCACACCACTTTCATCACTGTCGTATTTTGTACAAATGCAAGGTACAAGGTTGCCTTTCAAAAAAAAAAAAAGTAAGCACAAGACAAAGTGTTTGAGCAAGCACCTGCTGTTGTCTCTTTTCTGGTGAGGACAGTCTCTTGTACTGAATACATCAAAGCCTAATAGCAATCATTACCATTACAATCATGGCCATAATGGCTGATGGGAAAGTGGCTGCTCAGTGTTTGCTAATTGCCACAGTGCTAAGACAAAAAGCAGCACAACTCTCATAAAGAATAAACACAACCATTTCCTCCCCATTACTGGGTTTTACCACCAGACCACAAAGCCATTTTACACTGGGCCTTTAAGTCCATTTCTTTTCCATTCTCCTAATGATTATGTTCTTTTACAGTCCTCTGAGAAAATTCCACTGGCCTTCCACACTCATCACACTGCCAAAAGATGTAGAAACATTAGACCTATACGGTGGGGGGAAGTTAACCTGATCCAAAGCCTGGAAGCTGCTCTGGCTCCACCAAGATCTCCAAATATCATTAGTATTGAAAGGTTTTACTTGTTTCTCTAGAAGAAAGTCATGCAAGGAGCCCTAATTAAGAGTAACCTTCATGTTATGTACTTGCTGTATGTATTCCCTGCACACATGTGGTCAGGGGTGCCTAGTCAAGAGTCTTCTAGTAGTGTCATATGAGAGCAAGGTCACTTATATGAGCAACACTGGACAGGATTGTACAGAATATAGCTAGAAATGCATTTCATACAGAGGAGAATGCATGATATTGCCACTTGGCAGAGGGAGAGAAACCCTGTCTCAGTGAAACACGCCTAGACTATCTGTCATTTGTGCTGTAGTTAATGCCTCACGGTTGTTTCAACTTATGTGTATATGTACAGCTTAAGAGTGGTGTGTGTGCAGGCGAGTGTGTTTTTAAGAGAGTAGTGCTTCAGCACATATTTCTCTTATGTAACAACTAGACTAGCATTAGGACATGCAAACTAAATGCTGCCTCTCCCACCGAAACATAAGCAGCAGGATGTGCCTGTTTCACAGCCCCAGCACATTAAGTGGAGCAGTTTTCCTTAGGACACGATCCGCAAATACAGATCAATTTGTCAGGGCCGTGTCTCCGCCACACAAAACATTCTCATTAACCTGGAGTCAGACCCAGTAACAGCCACATTATCAACTCACTCATCATTTTTCCATTATTAGCTGCCCTAAATGACAAGTACAGAGTGACCACAGTGCCTTTCGACCCTACAACTGCCACTCATGTAAGCCCATTGAATATTCCTGTGTGGAGTCAGGAGACATTTTCTCTGCAAATTGCACTTGACAGTGCCTGATGCCAGCCTGACAGAAGCCAGCTAAATCTGAAAAGATTATTCAGAAGGTGTGCAACAGCTGGGTGGCATTTAGGAAAGGAAACATAGAAGTAAATGTATAATATCAGTGCAGCACACTGATAACCACCTCCTAACCACATCAGTGACAGAGAATAATTAAAGATGGCATGTTGTATAACCCCAGGGCCACTGGGCTCTCACTTCTTATTCTATTTACTTAGACCCCGTCACTGCTGTCAGTCAGCAAGAGAAGCTCTATTCAATGAGATGTGGAGATAGCAGGTTGCACTGCCACACCTCATGGGCCAGGCTGTTATTATCCAACAGCACTACAACATATTGAGACAATCTGCAAAGCTCCCAACCTGAGGCTTAGAGAAACGAACTAAGGACTTGATCATTTGGTATCAATAATCCTACTGTTCTGTAGGTAAACTGCACTAACAGCGAAGGTGTCATATGCAGCTACTGTAAAACAAAAGAGGAATATTTGATCAAGATCACTATAACCTTTATATGGAAACAAAAAGACAAATCAATGGCCTATTAGGAATATGTTTCTATATGCTGTTGAATACTAGCAGTAATGATTGAACTCATTATGGACACCCTCTGAACAGGATGTTTTAGGCAGTGATCAAGAGAGTAGCAGTCCTACGGCAGAAACTGAGAGAATGCTTTTTCTCCTAGTCTCCCTCTTTCAGAGACACGGGAGCTGAATGCGCCGCATGTCTAAGAGCTGGAAGATCCGGAGAGCCGTCCCGCTTTAAGATCATTCATAAAAATGGCAGGCTTATGGAGCTATCGTCCTATAGGCTTCGGAAAATTGGTTTTTCTTCCTTTTATATCAGTGAGAGTTGTTCGATTAAAGCACTAGTTTGAAAGAGGCTCGTCCTGAGATCTTGCGTAAATATACAAAGCATCTTTCTTACTGTAATGAGCCAAACTGCAGGGTGTATACGGGAATGTTCCCATACTCCATGGTTTATTGTCTCCATACAGCCGGAATACGAAACGTTTCAGCGAATAAACTAAACAGTGTGCAACGCTTTTCCTAGAAGCTGATTTCAGCGTAGGATCACAGAAAACAATATTATGGTAGGCTGAACATCTGCGATGGATAATAACAGTGTCAACCCTCTTCCTTACCCTTTTAAACCGGGGTGGTGTTGGTGCAGCTGGGGATGAGAGTATCCCTGCTCTGGTTCGGCGGGGCCGTTGTGCAGGACAGCCGATTAGAGATGCAGGGATGCTCGGCTCAGTCTGGACGCCTTCCTCCGGACCTCCTGATGAACCGTGTTGCTGGACTGTTCGAAATTTCAGCCTGGATCCTACTGCTGCTATTCCTATTGCACAATCACACACATCTGTGCACCGGTTGACTGAATAAGCGCCCGTTGGCTACAGCAGCCGAGCCCTGTAAACCATGTTAGAGTGCAAGCAAGAGGCAGCAGTGACGGCGCCGCGGTGCGGAGATGGTCCTGCTGCTGCTGGCGTTTCCTCTCCTCCAGGAGCCGGAACGGGACGGGATAACAGCGGAGGACAGTGTGTTTAAGTGGTGTCCGCCGGTGGAGTGGATTTAAACAGGGGAATTGTGTCGTTGGGATTACGTGGCAGGGGTTTAATTAGATAGCGCTGCGCCTATTGGCACCGACGTTGCGCACAGCACTCCTCCCGCCTTGCTCGCGTCTCCCCTCTCTCTCCGCTGAAACAGTTAGATGCGTGTGTCTCAATACAGAGTGCTAGGATGGCACACAATGCTGTGCCTTGGGTCAAATAATATGCATCATCCGGCCACACCTTTGTTCTAACAACTTTTCTCTGAAATAATCAAAGCTGTCGAATCATAGAACTGACTTTATGGCTCTTACAAAGACCTGAAGGTAGGCCTACACCTGTGCTGGGCGCCTTCTCCCATCTGCCAGTTTCAGCTCTTTTCATAGATGTTCTTCTGCGTTAGTATCAGGGCTCAGCAGCCACATCAGATGTTTCTAGACATTATCCTGCTGGAGGAGCCATGACCTGCGACTGAGACACAGCTCTCTGACCCTGGGCAGTATACTGTATTTCTCTCCAGAATGCCAAGATAATCTTCATTGTTTCCTGCACAGATTCAAGGCAGCTTTGCCAGATACAGCAACGCAACCCTCTAACATAGCTGAGCCTCTCCATGGTTCACAGTGGGGATGGCTTTTCTTAAAAGATCTAGAAGCTTCCTGTTTTGGAGTTTTCACTGGTTCCATTTCCGCCATCCACGCTATCCCTTTGCTCAGGTTTCTCTTTCTAGCTACAGCCTGACTTATCTTAAACTTTATGTTATTAACTGTGGTCAAAGTAGTAAATGAAGATGAGGACTGCAAATGGTTCACAGACAAGGACATAAATATTATAACATTAACCCTTTCATTGAAATACTCAGAAATTCAAAATTTCAATTATAGACCATTATCGGAAGGTATATGTTGCAAATCATAATTTCCCCCAAAGATATACATATAAAAAGATTTTTAAAACAAATAAAGTTGAAAACACATTAATTTAAACATAAAAATATGCAAAAATACAAAACTACTTATTTTCTACAAGTACTCATAGCCATTTAGGATGCCCACAGCAGTTACCAAATGGGGTTCTTTACTTGATAAAGGGTTAATATACCCTAAATATTCTATGAAGCACACACAAAGTCAGCTGACTTGGCCAGTAGATACAATATCTTGGACTTGCATGCTCTCATACTTAGGTCTCACGTTGTCACATTTAAATTAAATTCCTGGAATTTGTCCTGTTTTCTTATACACAAATTGCAAATGTCCTGCTGCTCCATGTGGAAGCACACAAAGAACCGATGCAGAATGGACAGTCTGTGGTGATGGGACAGGCTGAGTACCAGCCCTGACACACACACACACATGTTCCGAGGTTCACCATCTGAGCCAGACATCAGCTGTATTTTGTCACACTTCACAGAACCTGAGGGAGCCTAGGGACGTTTTTTTTTTTTTATTAACTCCAAAGGCTGGTGATGACTCACAACTGTGGTCTCTCTGGACTAAGTTAGGCTGCTCACTGAAGGGACAGCTGACCTGCATAACCAGCGCTACTCCAAAAGGATAATCAAAAACCACACATACGTAAGAGGGCGCATGTAAGAGCACAGAGCAACAACAATTTCCTGAGGCACTCTCTGCCATAATGGCTTTTAGATGTGACATTTGAGGCAGAGGGTTTTCAGGAAGGGTCAGCTTCTTAATCAGCCACTGTAGCATATGATCATCATGTCTCATTAACACTTACCATTTAGTCAACACATATTCTGATAATGTGGCCTTTGTGTACTCTCTACTTATCACATTTGCTGCTAAACGCCAGATTAATTTCAGTTCTGCTATTTCACTACATTGCAGTCAATTTGTCACTTCATAAAAGAGTTTAAAATGAATATTGGGTGAACCAGGTGACTGCGAGGTGGAGGCTGCTGTAAATAAGAAGTTGAAAGTTTCATCTCTAATTAAAGGGAATAATTTATAGAGGATGTTACTGACAATCATCCACCAGCACACAAATGATAGAGCGGAAAAGGAATCACAGCCGGGTTGGACAAATCAAATGCAGAATGAAATGCAGCGGGAGTGCTGTGTTCACATGCTGTATCAAAAGTCAATTTATGTTAGCTTACTTAATGAAATGAAGCAAATTCAACATGTTTGTAACAGTAAAATATTGTAAAACAACTTCATATTTGTGTGAAATATAATTCCCTTTTGCTTGTCTTTGTCATTTCCTCCATTAGAGCACCCAAAAGCAGTGCAAAAGTCTGGTGTTTTCTACTCTTTGACCTGGCTAGAACCACCAGGCTGACTGATGCAATGAGGTGTCAAGAGGGACGCATCTCTGAGACCTGAATGCAACATCTAAGTGTATAAGTTTCTAAGGACAGAGGCTAGATAGACTGTAGCCTCACAGCTTCACCAGTAAGAAGCCTCAGTGACCGCTCTGTAATAAATGAAAGAAGAAACAGATGGCAGCACATTATGAAGAAATAAAAGGAAACCAATATCACAGCTATGTTTATTGAATCCATGTTTGCTCTGTTGTGTGCCTACTGTTGTCATCCGTTTGGGTCACACAGAAGATGAAGTACACTGCAAGAGCAACACTCACGTTGTGCAATGGAAATACAAACGTGTACTGGGGACAGGCAGCCAATAGCCAACCAGCTGGCCTGAGCATGGGAAGGTTCCTGGTGGTAGTGGGAAGACAGCTTTTGCGGTGGTAAGTGGCTCAGTGATACTGGATTCTGTGATTGGAAAAGCGCAGAACATCAGTTTGAGAAACACAAAAATGCACAGGCACGTGGCAAAGCAACCTTTGCCTTCCTAGATACAACTCAAATGCAACAGGTAAATGCTCCTTGTAGACTAAGAACATCATCTAAGCCACTTAACCATTAGGTCTCTGGAATGTGACTTGGTTTGTTAACTGGACTTTACAGATTCCTGATTTAAACTGTGTTTAGATGTGCACTTCTTGCCAGGGATGATGTTTTCACCATAAAGTATACAGTTTGATTTCTGGGACCCTTCTGGGGCTCACTTGCTGGATTTGTTACTTGTGTGTACTAAGCCAGCTGATGTGAACAGTTGTGAAAGCATCGAGGGCCAGGTTTTTGTGCATTGTGGTGCTGTGTGAACATGTTGGTGGTGTTTTTTTTTCTTTTCTAAACTGTACACTGCACTGTTTCAGATGGTCAGATTGGAATACTCTAACTTACGTTGTCAGAGAAACATCATAGCATCATACTACAGCAGTGATAGTTGTATAGTTTGAAACCTGTGATCAGTTCAAACGTTTCCATAATATATAAACATTAGTCCCTTAAAGTTTGTTCCAATGCCCTAGGATTTACAGTATCATACTGAATAATTTACACCTTATGCTTTACAGATAATGCCAGCACTGGAAGTTGAAAGTAAGGGTGTGGTCATCCAAATGATGCAGCGAGTTATGCGTCAAGGCCGACTTTCGTCCAGAATAGCCATCATGCCCCGTCAAAACTCCTGCCATTTATTTTTGATTTCTCGTTAACCATACAGTAGAAACTAGTCTTTTCCTAAGTGTAACCATATCCTACTGTAGCTGCCACTAATAGACTCTATAAAAAGTGAAAATTTGAAAAATGTTGATACTGAATATACAATCCAGAGCTTTGCACAATTATCCAATGCTGACATTCTTGCTGATAGGGCTACTGAAATACATGCCTCTAAATGTCATTATATTGTAGAGTATGACCAAGGGAGCCCTGTGATAGACTGATGACCTGTCTAGGATGTACCCCACCTCTCACCCAGTGCCAGGGATCAGCTCAAACCCTTTACAGAATAAGCAGTGTAATGGACAAACTATGACCAAGGGAAGTCTTGCATGTATTTGCTCAGCATAAGGTTGGTGTCTTGAACAAATCTTGACACTGGATCTTCATTACCTTTATCTGAAAAGTCAGGTCTTTGTTAGCTTTCCAAGAGTGTCTGCATCTGCTGGAGCAGAGGGGCCTCAGGCCGGAGCTGAAGCAGAAACCTGATGGGAAATGAACATGGAAGTGGATTATAGGGAGAAGTTGGAAGCATTGAGAGTTGTGTTTTTAAGGCCTGCTAGCTTGTATGTGTGTGATCATGCGTGCACGAGAGATTAGGGAGGGTGCATGGTAGTTTTTCTCTTGTTTGTACTCACAGCCCTTGGATCTGAAGGAATGGAGGAGTTATTGTGGCAAAGTCTAATGTTTGTGTGTCCAGATTTGTTGTGGGTGTTTTCTCTGCTCACAGCTTCATCCCCTGCCTTTTCTCTCCTCCCTGTTGTCTCCCTGAAGGTGAGAGAGGGACAAATATTTGACTCAGCTTTTGCTTATTTCATTAGTTGTCCATAACTCTGGCTCTCTGTGTCTCTGTCCTGTGAATGAGGACGCTGATGTGATTGAATTAAACCCTCCTCTTCTCACACCCTCTCTCTCCCCTTCATGTTTTGTGTACTGCTGGCACTTTCTCTCTGAGCTAGGGTTCAGTGCTGTTGTTGCACTTTCTCTGGTCTTGCGTAACTGTGCAGTGGTCATGTTGCGTTCCTTCCTCCATCTTCTCTTCCCCAGGCGGGATGGTCACTGAGGGAAAACAGCGTCCCAGAAAACTGACCTTCATTTCAGTATTCTACAAAGACTTTCCTCACTGCATGCTGAGCTCAACTCCAGAAAGCGGAACATCATTAGACCCGTTTGACCTTTGGTGAAGTAGTATAAAGAACTGGGAGTGGCTTTAGACAAAGACTGGCCCTCTTAAATGACAGAAGCCACAATCAGTTTATTTAATTATTTATTGATGGGTGTGTTTCAGCTTTCTGCTGGTCTCAATGTCATTCAGCAAAGAGGGACATGCAGGTGTGTAAACACAGGAATTCTCAGAATGACAACAATGCTATGTGTCTCTGCAGTTAAAGAAACTTCAGCAAAGCCAACCCCACACAATCTCTGAAACACAGCCTGTATGAAAATGCTTCTATATAAGTTTCTTTGTAAGGACCATTGACTGTATAAATATGGATGATGCATCACCACTTCCCTCTTCTATACAAAAATGAGGGGGATTTGTTGGGGTTTTCCTCTATGATAATAATAATAATAATAAGAAGAAGAAGAAGATCTAGACCTTACTTTGTAAAGTGTCCTGAGACAACTTTCTTTGTGATTTGGCGCT